ATTGAAAACTCTGGTCCACTTGTTTTCTCAACGCTACACGTGAATGACTTTAAAATAAAAATTAAAAAAGAATGTTATATTTTGAAATTAAAGGCAAATTGCAAGAGAAGTGCAACCAAAAAAAGGTTGGGTTCTTGCAACTTAATTATCATTATGTACACGTGACAAATGCAATGCATAAGTGAATAATTCGGTCATGCCACGTCAATCTCCAGGTTGTAAAATTTGAAAATAATCTCCTCGTGGACTTCTAGGCCGACCCACTTGGGCCCTTCTCTTTTATTAAACGATAAATGCACGACTTACAAGATCAATACGTAGAGGACCCATGAACAACTCTAGGGTTTGTCCTTTTCTTAACGCATCTGGCCGTACCACTACCAAATAAATTCTTGGTTTGGGATTCAGTTCAAATTCAACCAATTCTTTTACATATCTCTATCTATATTTTTTATTTTGATTTTTTATATTCCGAGATAAATAAAAAAAATATTTTTACTCACTCATAAAAAATAAGTTGCGGAAAGGCATGATATCCAAAGAGCTTTGACCAATTAAAATTTTAGTAAATATCACCTGATAACGTTACTACTTTGATTGATTACAACTTACAAATTTTTCCAATATCATATGTTCCTAATATCATTTCAGTGTCCAATATGGTTTAGTATAGTTCACAAAATTTACATTCAAATATCAAACATAATGCATGGTTAATATTTATTTACACACCTAAATTGTTTTGTATTATTGTTAAGTTTGGGGTTTATTTTGAGAAAGGAAAAATCTATGATTCTAAAAATACATCATACCCAAAAGACTTTGATCAATGAAAACTTCATGAATTTGGTTACAAGTTTTTTGGTATCGTGTCTTTTCAACATTAAAATCAAACCTTTTGAGAAATTTTATCGTCATATCACATCAGATATACCACTTCTAAAAATTAAATACTTTGGATTGGTGTTGATATTTAATATTTCATAAAAAGAAATGTCAATGATACTAGTATTTAATTAATATTAGGGTAAAGTACAAGAACTTTTTCTGAATTTTCTGACAATCATAAAAATCTCCCCTATAATTTTATTTTAGTAAAAACCTTACTTTATTTTTGAAAAATTTGATAAAAACCTCCCTTCTATTAATGACAAGACAAAAAATGTTAAATTAATGATTAATTTTTTCAAATACCCATTTTACCTTTTTGTATTTTAGCCTAATAAATAATGTCAATGGTTCAGGATCAACACGGGCCAGACCACTCCACTAGACTTCATGCTTCAAAATAGCAGAGGACGTGGCACAGGGCCTGGCATATATAACATTTAGCATCCAGGCTCGTTCACGGCGCAACCTCAAGTCCTCCAATGTAACTCTGGGGTCCTGACTTTGAGGCTTGTCTCACCGGTTACTACCTCGCCATGCTCACCGATACCTCCTCTAAAGATGAAACCCCTGACTCCGCCGGATATAGGGCCCCTGAGGCTTGTAAGTCCAGTCGTCGAGCCCCCTCCAAATCGGATGTCTACTCCTTTGGCGTTCTCTTACTTTAACTTCTGACTAGAAAACCTCCATCCCAGCATCCCATGCTCATATCTGGTGATCTACTTAATTGGATCAAATCCTTCAGACACAACGATGGTGGCGATGAGAACCGGCTAGCCATGCTTCTTGAGATAGCCACCACGTGAGACATCTCCAGAACAGGGACCCAGGATGTGGCAAGTTTTGAAGATGCTCCAGGAGTTTAAGGAGACAGTGACGAGTTCAATACTAGGTTTTAGCTCAAAAAGTGAATCAAAGACCAATCACAACCAACTGACCTCTTTCTAGATCCCTAAAATTCAATAGAAATCCAAGACTAATCAATCGAGAGATTCATTTAATGAAGCTCCAAACAGAGCAATACTATTAAAATTCTACAAAACAATACTACTGAGAATTTGAATGAAAAGAGAGAAACCTTCTGGATGAATACGTCTGAAAACAAAGCAATACTGTTAAAATAATGATCGGAACCCGTGTGCATTAAAATATTGTTAAAACAAAGCAATAATGTTAAAACAATGAACCAAAGATCAATGTCAAAATAATGACCAAAATTCGTGTRCATTAAAATACTGTTAAAACCGAGCAATAATGTCAAAACAATGAACCAAAGATCAGTATCAAAATAATGACCGAAAGAGGAAGAATAAGAAATCGGCTTGTGCTGTGTTCACTCACTCGGCTAAATACGTTTGAAAGGGGAAGAAAAAGACTAAATAAACGGCTTGTGTTGTGTTCCTCGAAACCCTTGTGTGTTCGTTCCTACTTTCATTCCTCCTGTCCTCTTCAAATTGGAAAAATAGAAACTAGGATAATAAAAGAGGGTAAAGAGGTATAATATGTCAATAGGGGTATTTTTGTAAAAATAGAAGCAAATTAATTTGTAAAAGGGTAAAGTAGGTATTTAGAAAAAATTAATCATCAATTTAACGTTTTTTGTCTTGGTTATTAATGGAAGGGAGATTTGTTAAGTTTTTTAAAAATAGAAGGGAGGTTTTTGTTAAAGTGAAACTATAAGAGAGGTTTTTATGATTGTCAGAAACTTCAGGGGAGGTTTTTGTATTTTTCCCTTAATATTAAAATGAAAATTTTATATAAGGAAAAATCTATAATACGAAAAAGATACGAATATGAAAAAAATTTTGACCAATCAAAACCCACCTATAAATTTTGATAAATAATATCTGATTATCACGTTTATGATAAGTAATAAACATTGTGCTATTTTATCAAATATTTGTATTAATAAATCCAAAACCTTTCTTATAAATGCATAAATGATACCAAATACAACCTCACGTTAAACATTTTTCCTTTTTTTTTTTGGCTTCATTGGCCAATCAACGTGGTAATCATCCCCACTTCCCCGTCTCCTTTAACCCCAACCCTAGTTAGAGGACTATCTATGCAGTAATGATTAATGAATCAGAAATCCTATCAGTTGAATTGAGCCACCATCGGTTGGTGGCCTCAAGTCAAACATGAATTCTTCATGTAATATCCTTTAGTAACCTAATCCACTCTTAAACGATAGACCCTCCTAGCTCAAAATCAATACTGAGGGTACAATTGTAAATTGAGAATGGAACTGTATCTGTATGTTGGCGAAAAGTAGTACAAAGCCACACGTGTGCCTGTGATATTTCGGTTCCTGCAATTATACTCGTCTCTCCTCTGGGTCAGGCAAGAGGACTCAGGAGGCTCGGCAGTCGGCAAGGAAAGAGTCCATCCTTTCCTCTCTGCCTGCCTCGAGCGATGATCGACGGATGTTAGTGGGGGCTTAAGCACATGACCTTGTACAAGTGGCACGTGTCATAACTACTATAGGACAAATTAGGTTCAACCAAAGTAAAGGAAAAAAGTAATACGTTTATGTGGCACGTTACCAGTTTTGCCAGTTGTGCCCACGCAACGGCTACATGTTAAAAAGTACGATTCCCCATATCTCTCTCCCCTTCTTTTTGTTGCTTTCCTTGCCCTTTTATTTCCTTCTTTCATTTTTTTTTGTTTCCGATTTTTCGGTTTTTCTTCCGAAACGCATTCCCACTGCCCAGCGCCAGTGGTGCATGGTCAATTGGTCCATGGCCCATGATCCCGCCGGAGCCCATTATCCCAACTCCGCGCCGCGCTCCCCCTCGGCCGTTAGACGGTTATCGCAGTTAGATGGGTTATTGAATTTCTCCCGACCGGAGAATCTGCACTTAAACCAGCTTAAAACGGAAAGAAGTTGGAAGTTTCGGATCCCACGCGGCAGTTAATTTTTTTTGTTGCTGAGAATTTATCTCACGACTAGATAGATATTACCCACCGACCCATTGGAAGATTAGTCAAAGTTTCCAGAACGGAAATAATAAAAAAATGAAATGGGGAAGCATCCAGCATCCATCCATAACAATATTAGCATAGCGGCAAGAGCAAAAGCATTAGTAGGTAGTAAGTAGGTACGACGTACGAGTAACAGAAACGGATACGGATCGGCCGTTTATGCTATCTCTTGCTTTAAATTATTAAATGATGCTCCTCATGAGTCGTCAGTCCTCCTCAGTCCTCTCCCCCTCTCAAATTTAATTAATCATTTCTTAAGACCCATTTCAAAATTTAAAAACTGATTTTTTTTTTAAATAATCAGAATTCAGATTTCATCAGAAAGCATGCAGCAGCAGAAGCAGAAGCAGCAGGAAGGAAGCAAGTTGGAAAGTCACTTATCTTCAAGTGAAGTGTACTGTTGGTACAGGTGAAGAGGTGAAAGCAGTCGGTTTTGGCAGTTCTAAAAAGGGGGTCCGTCACCGGCTCGTGTCGGTGAATGGGCGAAGGCCGTTAGAGAGTGGCAGGTTTACAGGCTGGACTGACAGGATGGCAGTAATGATCCGCCCTCCGATTCGGCGACCGCTCTTGTCGTTATTTGCCAGTTCAGCACTTCCGTGCGGCCGTTCTGATAAAGAAAAATCCCTCACGAAATGCTCTCCAGCCTGGCTCAGTCAAACTCATCCGCTCCCAACCGTACTTCCTAACTTATCGATATTTTACGATTTTCTCGCGATAATTTCGTCTGCCGATAATCCTTCTTTTTTTGGTTTTATTTCTATTTCTATTTATAATTTATTGTCCAGAATTTTTAAATTTTCAAGTTTTAATCACTGTATTTGTATAAGATAAGTGTGTAACCTTCCAGGCTTCAATCGAACCAAAAAAAAACAAAAAAAAAAAAAGAACAAAAACAGCACAAAGTTATCTCGAGAAATTAAAACTTAAAAGTGATCTTGGATGTGACAATGTAAATCAGGTCAGTGGTGGGGAGACGCGTGTCCTCATGACAGCTGTATGCAAGTGCAACCGCCTGCCTGGAAGAAACCCGGTGTTCATAACGCCTATAACCGGTCACGGCAACCGGCTCCTTCGGTAATCTCTATCCTTCCGTTATATACCATTCCACTCCTACCCCCATGGCCCTTTCTTCTACTCCTTATAACACACCAGAAGGTTCAAGGCTTGAGGAGCCACCTCCCTACCTCTCTCTCTCTCTCTCTCTCTCTCTCTATACTGCGCCTCCCAAACCTCATCTTCTCGTAACCCGTCTTTCATCTCTCTTTCTCCTCGATTTCTATTGGAAGGGATTATTAGTATTTAGGGTTTTAACTGTGTATCTATTTAGGGTTAGGGTTTTTTCTTTAACGGAAAGAAGCGTTATCCATATTCGTCCTCAATGTCTTCTTCTTCAAGGAAAGATCAAGATCGGATCAAAGGACCATGGAGCCCAGAGGAAGATGACGCGTTGCAGAAGCTTGTTCAGAAGCATGGACCGAGAAACTGGTCTCTGATAAGTAAATCAATTCCCGGTAGATCTGGCAAGTCTTGTCGTCTCCGATGGTGTAACCAGCTCTCTCCCCAGGTGGAACACCGCGCTTTCACGCCGGAGGAAGATGAGACGATCATCCGAGCGCATGCCAAGTTCGGCAACAAATGGGCGACGATTGCTCGTCTTCTCTCCGGTCGCACCGACAACGCGATTAAGAACCATTGGAATTCGACTCTGAAGCGCAAATGCTCATCCATGACCGATGAAGGTAGTGTCGATGGGCATGTGAACCAGCCTTTGAAGAGATCGGTGAGCGCGGGCGCCGCCATTCCGCCTGTCTCTGCTCTCTATCTAAGTAGCCCAAGCAGCCCCTCTGGATCTGATGTTAGCGATTCGAGCCTTCCCGTGATATCTCCTTCTCATGTCTACCGACCTGTTGCAAGGACAGGAGGGATTTTGCCTCCTCAGCAACAGCAGCAGCCACAACTCGAAACGTCCTCGTCGACCAACGATCCACCGACGTCCCTGAGTCTCTCCCTCCCTGGAGCCGACTCGTGCGAGGCTTCAAATCATGTCCCCGGATCCAACCATGCAACAAATCCCAGTCAACCTAGTCAGCTGGCTTCTTCCTTGTCCCTGCCCCCGCCTACGGTTGTACCATTGCAACAGGTTTCTCAGCCGCCTCACCATACCGAGTACAACGAGTTCGCGACGTCGGCACCGCCGGCCGAGAAGCCCTTCATGCCGTTTTGTCCAGAGTTTCTATCAGTGATGCAAGAGATGATCAAGAAAGAAGTCAGGAACTACATGTTGGGACTTGAGCAGAATGGTCTTTGTTTCCGTGCTGATGGAATTAGGAATGCTGTAGTGAAGCGTATCGGCATCAGCAAGATCGAGTAGTGTAATCAAGGCTCTGAAGATAATGAATATAGTGGGAGGGAGCTCGACTGCTCGAGAGAGAATGAGAAAGAAAAACAATCTTGTTTTTTTTCTCTCTTCTCGTTTATCATTTCATACAGAAAATAATTTTGCTCATGTACAGAAAACAGAGATGGAGAAAGATCCAGGGATCAAATATGTGGAATTAAAAGAAGGAAACAAGAGTAACCCAGATGGTTATCTTAAGTCAGAAGAACTGAAGGAAAAAAAAGGTCTCCTTGAACAAAGACAAAGAAAAGAACGAACTTTGTCTTTCTCCGGCCTCGTTCACCAGTTTTAGAAAAGGAGGGAAAAAACAAAATGCAAGAAAAAAACCTTCAATGGAATCCAAGTTCATTTTAGTATCTACTTTTAGGTTTTTTAAATTAAAATTAAATATAATAGTTTCGTTTATTTCAGCTTTGGACGATTTCCTTTTTCATTCTAAGTTTTTCTTCGTTGAGAACCTTTCATAGTTTGCAAGGCCAAGTTGAGGAGACGTACACAGAAAGATGAAAGTGGGGAAAGTTGAGGCCGAAAAGCATCAACTTAAGAGACTTATTCGTTACATACATATAGTATGGACTAGATATTTATTTGAAAAGTATAAACTGTGTTTGTTGAAATGATGAACCATAGACGAAACGGTACGTAGGTTCGAATTTAATGGAGAATTTTTTAAGAATAAACTGTGGATAATGTTAGTTGCAGTTGAAAAAATAAATAAATTAATGGAAAATTGGGTGGATTGGCACTAGCAGTTGAGAAAAAGATAATTAACTAAGAGAGATGCATTGGATTATGATTTGAGATTACTAAAGGGGTTATTGTAATTGATTTGGTAGTTTTAACAGATAAGAAATTCAAAAATTTCAAGGCAGAGTCCGTATAAACACTTTGGTGAGAGATTAATTGATTGGTATCTTGTCTGTCATAAAACTGTACAATCAACTACTGGTTTCTAAATAAAGGGAAACCGCCTTGGAAGGAGGGCGGGCAGTGTGATTCCCGTAACCTGGACCAACAAATATTCGACCGGCCATCCAACCAACTAACCGTAGGCTGTTTGATAATGGCTGTAAGAGGTTTAATTTAATCGAATGATATTTTAGTGGATATCAAATTTTAAGTAATCAATAAATTTAATCTTCACCCATTAGGCAGCTCACAGCCTAGGGTGATTTGGCACGACCTATCAAGAAGAGGACATGTAGGCGTGATTTGATCGAAGGTTGACAATTCAGCCAGGAAAGTCTAGTTTGCAATATTTGGAGTTCGGGTATTCAGCCACTTTGGCTTAAAATCCACTTCGATGTAGTGGCATCTCGACATCCAATCTAGTTTGGGACTAAAGAGTTGAAGTCTCAATTCGGAGTTAATGAGTCAAAACGCCACGTAACCGACTCCAAAGGCCTTCTCAACAGATCCCGAATCTCTTGAGGTCACGATGAGCCAAGAGATTCCGAATTTCTCAAGACCATGATAAGAACTCATCCCGATTCTGCGTAAATCGGAGATAGACGATAAACCTTATCAACATACTGCTCTCATTCAAAAACGGAACTAACCATATCGCCACAACCTGGGGATCCCGGAGCTCTTTCGAAAGGCCCGCGACTACTCCAGTATATAAAGACTTGAAATCTCAAGGCAAAGGTACGTGTGATTACTCACTAGCAATTAAGCTTTCAAGCATTCAGCTCACATTCACAGCATAAGTACCGACTGAAGCATCGGAGCGACCTCACCGGGTTAGCTACCCCGGGTTCTTTGATCCACTGTTTTGCAGATCGGTCCAGCTAACTGCCCAATCGGAGTTTGGATCGCCCACCAGCTAAGAGTAGTCAGATCACGCACCATCAATTGGCACCGTCTGTGAGAAACAATCGAAAGGTCATCCCTATCTCTTTACAGTTTCAAACTTAATCTCAACCTCACTGGCATCTTCCAGCCACACTGGAAAAAGTGTCGAGAGGAACGTCACCGGGGTCAAGCCCAACAGTCAACCTTCCCCCAAGTTCCTACGGTGTGCATCGGCCAGTTCACTATTCCACTCACAGTGTCTGGAGTCCCATCACTATCCGCACCACCGAGCACCACGCAAGTGAGCGTCTCACTTCCCTCAGTGGTAGGCACAACTTTCTTTGATCCATCTGTGGTTCCCTCCAGAATCGGGAATTCCCAGTTCCATGATCTCATTCAGTGCGTCCGGGAAATACAGATCCAGATGCAGCAGGTCCAGCAATTCCAGCAGTACCAGCAGTACTGTTTGTAACAGTAGTATCAACACCAGTTCCCTCCACTACATCCAAACCAGCATCCGGTTCCCCCTTTGCACTTTGGGCCCCGTCAGGGCTAGAACCCGAATCGGCCTGGAATTAACCAGAACATCAGCCGATCTCCCCATCGGGGCGAAGAGACCTCACAAGTACTGATTCCTCTTAGGAGTTAGGTTTTGCCCTGTGGGGAGGAGAGACGGTCATCACACTCCTCTCGCCTTGCAAAGAAATCTCAGAAACAGGTCTGGGGATAGTCAGCCCAATCTGCCTCGGTACTCACAGCAAGAAAATGATGACACGTGAGCAGATAATAACCAGTTCGGAGTTCGAGGTGCGAACTCGAGACAAGGCTTCTCTGTCCCTCGAGATAGCCAGTTCGAGCCCTACAACCAAGAGAATCTAACGAGAAGGAACTAAGATCTACCTCGCGACAATGCCGAAGTACTAGACCAGACCGAAGTGAGCAGTACCAACGCTGAGCCGGTGAAGAAGCAGCAGCGGCGACGTCGCAAAACACGCCACCCCTTGTCCAGGAATAGCCCGCCAACGAAGCCAGGCCAGCGAGAAGAGCAAACCAAAAGAAAGGAAGAAGCGAGCTCGGTGGCTACAAAGACTGTGCCTCCACTACTTTGCCGGTCATCCCCTTTGTCTCCCGAGCTCTTGGCAACTCCAATGTCAAAAGATTTTAAGATGCCCCCATTAGACAAGTACGACGGGTCATTTGACCCCAATGACCTGTTAGACAGTTTTGTATGCCCTTAGCTTCAATCAGAATGATGTACTTTATGAGTTTATTGTAAATGAATAAAGATACATATTTGATTATGTTCCCTTGGTATGTTTCTTTGTAATACCCTTAAACTAGACACTTAATGACACTCGTGTTAGTTTAGAATGTTCACAGCCAGTGGGTCGGTCTGGGGAGACCTATCCTGAAAGAATGGTAGGATCCATCTAATGGACGCCATAAAGGTTGCGGAATGGGTGGGGGCGAATTTCAAAAATTTCCTACCTTCTCCCAA